GTGTTTGTTGTCTTGACTGTTTGTTGTTTCACTCTATTTTTCTACTTTTTTTTTTTCTACTTGACTCACTTTCTTGTCGTTTAAAAGTATTACTGGGTATCCTCCTCTTTGGCCTGTCTGTCAAGCACTTTGTATACTGGGTTTTTAAAAGGTGCTATGTAAATAAAGTTGTCATTATCATTATTATTACTATACAAATATGTAAATTTCCCTATTTAGCCCATTTCAGACATGCATTTCTTTCAGTTAATGGTCCATTGATGAGCACTGCAGCCACTAGAAAAAATGAATTCAACACACCAGACTCTACTGCATGCGGTCATATGAACAGACAGGCATGTAGAAGCGATGACACGTTGAGTTGTGTGTAGCCAGAGAGTTAGAGCTTTTTCCACATTTTGGCACCACCTGGGTTTAAAAACATCACATCTTTCATTCACTTTGCACGACAACTTCACATCTATCAAAAACTGAACTGTTGCTAAACATAAAACCTCACTGCAATAAAAACAGAGTCTGCAACAAGTCACATGAATGAGACTCTTCAATAAAAAAAAAACTCATCTGGGTTTTGACAAAACATCAACAGGAGATTAAGTTAAGTTTGTCGTTTCCAGCTGTTTTCAGGAGTCTTTCCTCTGAGTTGATTAAATATCTTCACATCCACATGAGAGTCTCCAAAGTGAGAGTTGTGCTGATCAAAAGAGACTTCATTAATTCCATATAATCATCAGGATATAACAGCAAGTCACACAAGTTTTCTTTGCTCCAGACAGATGAGTTGTCACACACAGAGTCATGGCTTTTAAGCCTTTTGTCTATTAGTGAAATTATTACGCATCACTTAACAGACTGTTTATACTTGTGTGTTAAAAAAGGGCTTTATTGTCTCCACCTCCAACAGCTCATGTGCTTTTATTTTGAAGACACGTGCACTAGCTTTCATTTCAGTAAAAACTACTTGAACCATGGGGTGTGACACAGCTATCTGAAAGGAGGTTGCAAAACTGAGTTAGATTAGAATAGATTGAACTTTATTGACCCCTTTGGTAGGGTACTTCAGGGAAACTGTTGAATACTTAGTAGTTGATACTGATGCTGAAATTTATGTTTTTACGTTCACATAAAAGGATTCTGGTTTTGTTTTACGGGAAAGTGGACTCTTGAACTCAGCAGGAATTTTACAGCCCTTCATACGAAACACTGAACTATTAGTCAGCTGAGTCCCTTTGTGTTAAAATAACACCATTATTGTGTGGCATTTGTGTTTCCATTCAAGAACCTGTTTTGTAGGACTTTGTGTTCACGTGGCGGTGCTTCTTATTCATAATTGATGCGTGCTCAAACTTCTTTCCCTCTGTAAACACGTGGAGAAGTAAAGCAGCTCAAAACACATTCATAAATCACCTGTTGTTGGTGTTGTTGCTGCCGCCTGCTTGTAGCCTCAGTGTTTGATAAAGTGCCACTTTATGTGAGAGTGGATTGGCTTACAGCAGCCTATCCCTGTGCACAAACACTATTTACTCTTTTTCTGATTCTTTCAAGCTTTCCAGCGTTTTCTAGACTTGATCTGCACAAAAATGTGAACACTCACGACGGTGGTTTTGCAAAAGAGGCAGCCTGTTTAATTTTTGTGGTCAAGACGTCCATGTTTAGGAGCTGTGGTTACAGGACTGTTGACTCATTTGTTCTAAACCAGTCAGCACTGTCCACAACAGGAGGTTTGTTTTCAGCCGGTTTATGCTGCACCTCTCCTTAATGTGAGCCTATAAACAATACTTGACCTACATAGTGGGTTGTGATATTCTGCTGTGCTAAACTACAGGGCCCAGATGTTCAGAAGTCATCTAATAGGATCTCAGTCATTGGATGGGAAGTTGACATAAGCTGAACTTGAATAAAGCAGACATTAGTTTATCTATTAAGCATTTTAGTGAAGTTAAAAAAGCTTTTTGCCCCATGACTAATCCTCGATCCTTATCTGTCGATATCTAACAAATACAAAAATAAAAAAACAAAGAAGTTGTTTATCACTGCTATTTGGGCTGAAACGAACAACAATTTCCATTGTCAATTAATATTATTTTCTGTATTAATCAATGACATGTTTGATCTGTGACATATCAGAAAACGATGAAAAATATCAGTGTTTGTCTGCAAATGTCTTGTTTTGTCAACAACCCAAAGATATTCAGTTTATTGGCATTGAACAGTTGATAAATCAGAAATATTTAGATTTAGGAGGACTGAATTGGAGAATGTGGATGTTTTTTTTCTTAAAAAATTACTCAAACTTATTAATTGATTGTTAAAATAGTCGTTGATTAATACAGTAGCTGAAAAGGAATCAATTAATCATCTCAGCTCTACTGTATGTTAATTACAATGACATAATCAGAGATGATTGTACCTCCTAAAAGCAGGTGATAGACATTTAATTCTAAAGAAAATTAAGCTGTTTTCTGTCCCTTTGACTAAAAATGCTTAAAGCGGCCTGATGCTGCCTGTCCTTCCTGTTGTTCTTTTGCCAAGTCAAGCCACTGTTATTTCGTCTAGCATATTCATTACACCGGAAAAGTTAGATATGTGTCTCAGGTTAACCTTAGTTGAACTTAGTAAATATTAACAAACTTAGCGAACTTGATCAATTTACAATCCAGAATATCTTGTTATACAAATTTAAACCTATGACGGAAACATCACTTCTAATCAACATTGTTGTTATTATTATTATTATTATTATTATTATGGGTAAATACCACATCCATAAAAATAAATGGAAAAACAACTTAAGCTGTTTTAAAATTAATTCAAAATGTTTTTATCCTGCTTGAATCTTTAAAATAATAATAATAATCCAATAAGACTGTAGAAAAACTGTAGAAAATATTTGCTATGCTGCTGAAATGTTCCTGATCTTTTAATACATTTCTATTTTTAATGCCTTAAAATTCAATGTTTGCACATACCTCTTAATGTTATACTCTGTTGTCAGTACCTTGTCTGTTTTATGTCTGTACGAATAATTGTAATAAAATTCATTTAAAAAAAAAAAAAAAAAGTTTAAATGTTGAGGTCATGACCCTTATGTGTTATTTATAGTAGCGTGATTTTTCAGGATTTAAACCTTACAAAAATATATATAAAATACAACTTTAAATAGCAGAATAAATAACAAGGATAAGAACCTAGCTCTGGAACAAAATAAAATAAAAATAAAATCTACATATAAACTTTTTGAACGGCAGTGTGGGGTGAAGCGCGCCTCCTGCTGTCCGCTAGAGGTCGCTGCGGCTCCGCACTAACGCTCACTGCAGCCGAGCAGCCAGTTCAGGAATGTAGCAAACCGACAAACCAGATTTCTCCGGTTCGCCATGAAAACACGGTGATGAAACCAGCAGCCCTCGGGAGTCATGTCACATTGTAATGCGGTCAATGGATACAAACTGGTCGCTGCGCTTCTTCTTTGGTTTGGTAAGTGGGGTGAACGCCCTGCACACAGTCCTACAGTGTTAGCTAACAGGCTACATAAAGCTAAACACACTCTGTCAACACAGTGTTCGAAGTGGCCTTCAGAGTAGAAGTTGGTGTACAATACAAATACAAAAAAACATGCATAAAAGGTGACATTACAGTTTCGATAATACATCAACAGAGTTGATTTGCGTCTTTGTTGTCCAGTTGGTTTGTTTGCCTGGTTTGTGTTGGGGTTTATCTTCTTGCCGCGTGTGGCAAAAATATATATCATGCTTTTATTTTGAAAGTCCAAACAGGAGATGTTGATGGTTTTAACTTGACGCACCACAAACCAATGCTGATGTTGAGGGGTTTTGTGAATGAGAGGGGTTTAAAATACAATCATGCACCCCAGGGTAGAGGTACTTCTGAGTATACATGTACGTGTTTAGTTTTTTTTTTTTTTTTAATGTGGAAAACGTGCATTCTGGAAAAATCTGCACATGTAAAATTAAAAAAAAAAGAATACTACATGGGAAGAGTGAAGGTTATTGTGACACAGTCAAAGTGGACCTAGTTAGTAGTGTTTGTAGTTTTGGTCCAGTTTTTATCTTCTAAAATATGTGTCCAGTTTTGCAAATGAAAGTTAGGCTAAGGTTGGCTATTAGCTTTTCATTATCACGTGTGACATTTTGATTTCATGTGCAATATTGACTACCATGTGTAATACTACTTTACTACTTCAGATTCATTGCCACTATTATTTCCTACTTTTCTAGTCTAATCTAATTTTAGCTTATTTATTTAAAATTTAAGTCACGTTAGGTGCTTGTATCTTGTTGCTTTTCTTTTAGGCACTGCATTTATTGTCATGTTATGTTATTTTGTTATCTTAGACACAAGAATTTCCTTTGGGATCAATAACGTTCTATTTTATCGAATCTGATTGTTATATTTAATCTTTAAAAAAAAATGCATAGCATCCATTTTAACCAAAGAACCATTCAGAAAATAAAAACCTAGCATATGATGGCAGATTAGACCACTGCTTAAATTTAATTGGGTGGCACTTTGTTTGAATTGTTGCTGATGGTAGGGCTGCGTCTAATAATTATTTTCATTTGATTCATTTGATTAATCAGATTATTTATTTATTTTCAATTGATTGATTAATGTTTGGTCTTAAAAAATTTCAAAAAAACCTAAGTTAGTGTTACTCAAATCCCAAAGTGATGTCCTCAAAAGTCTTGTTTTATTGACAACCTAAAAATATTCACTGTACTGTTCTAGCAGAGTAAAGAAACCCGAACATTTTCAAATTTAAGAAGCTGGAATCAGAGAATTTTGACCTCTTTTTTGTTCTTAAACAAACTACTCAAACTACAAAACTACTACTGTTATTTGATTGGTTTGATTGATTTGATTGTTGAATAAATGAATGAATGGGCTGCAGGGTGCGTCAGTGGTTAGCACCGTTGCCTCGCAGCAAGAAGGTTGCCGGTTTGCGACCCGGCGAGGACACCTGGGATCTTTCTGCGTGGAGTTTGCATGTTCTCCCCGTGCAGCGTGGGTTCTCTCTGGGTTCTCCGGCTTCCTCCCACACAGTCCAAAAACATGTTGAAGTTAACTGGTGATTCTAAATTGTCGGGAGGTGTGAATGTGAGTGTGCTTGGTTGTCTGTCTCTAAGTGTAGCCCTGTGATAGACTGGTGACCTGTCCAGGGTGTCCCCTGCCTTCACCCTAAGTCAGCTGAGATAGGCTCCAGCCCCCTGCGACCCTAGTGAGGATTAAGCGGTGTATAGATAATGGATGGATGGAATAAATTAATAGTTGACTACTAATTGATTAATTGTTATACAGTAACTCTAGTTCAAATGAAGTCCCAAGACAGCTGATAAAGTTGTCCCCAAACTGCTAATTATGGTTTCATGCTATTTACACTGTACATTGTACATGAATAATATTGTTTTCCATCTCAGTGCTATGATGTCCATTTTTCTGCTGATGATAACATCTTGTATGCTGTTGGCCGACAGGCGTTTTCCAGATTATAGGCTGCTTTAATGACCCGTGGACCTCCTCCTGTTAATTTTAAATCTCATTCTAAACTTAAGAAACTAAATATGTGCATTTCACAAGAGCATATACAGTGACTGTCTCTCATTCATATCCATGTGGTCAATAAAAATTTAATTTATATAGTCTCTATACTCTATGTAAATCCTAAAGAATTTACCAGGCACTAGGTTGTCCTACAAAATATGTTGAAAGTCTTGCTTAAAAGTTTGATTCAAATTGGATCCTTTTAAAACAGAGCTTTTTTCTCCTTTATAAAAAGGAAAAACATTATGTAGATCTCTGTATGACATATGACACAGTGCAGCTTGCAGACTCATTGCTGTGAGTTCTAAATAAAGGTTGGATGGTCATCACAGGTATTTAGGCAGTATCAGAACAGTCCTACCTTCATTCATAAAGACTTGCAAAATAGAGATATTTAACATCCTTTTATTGAGTTCAGAGTTAGAAACCATTGTACCAGCTTCCAGTAGAGACTGGCTTTGAAAGGTCCTCATACCAGCTCTGAACCGGGGAAGACTGGTTTATAGATTTGTGCTCCTCCTAGTACTGGCTGAAGCTTGAAGCTAGAGATACGCATTCCTCTGACAGACTTCAAAGCTTTATAGGGCCAAGTTTCTAAGAATATCCATCACTATTTTAATCAGTGTGACTGTGTGTCAGTGTGTGCTCTGGTTATTTTGGGCCAATGATTTTCATTTGTGTGATCCTGTGTTTAATTTGTTCTCAGTTCTTTCTTGCAACAGAGACATTGATCTCGCCGACTTTTTACTGAATAAATAAAGTCTCTAAAATAGGTGGAAATACATGAGGTCACCAAACTCTGGTGCAAGATCAAAGTGTAATAAATTATCCTGAAGTAACAGCAGCGGCAACAAATCTAACAGGGAGCGAAGGAAATGTCAGCCAAATAACCGTGTTTAAAAGACAGCAGAGTCCTTAGAAGAGGTATTTTAAAATTATGAAAAAGTGTCAGACGTGAACTGATAACAAGATGTTTCACAAAATGCGTATCATGTCATTAGCACTGACATTGACCCAGTTTTAGCTTACTGGATCACTTAGTGTTTGCTGTGAGTCATGTGGCACATATTATCTACAATTGCAGCAGTTTACACAATGGAAATGTACTTTTCCACCAAATTAATTTGATTTCTTATGGCTGCTCTTTCCATTCATAGCAAGTACTTAGTGATTTGTTTTGCCTCTTTATGGTGAAGAAGTCGCTATGATAGTCTACACATATACCTACCACCTGTATAGACTGAGTGAACCTCACATTAGCCAAATGACATGAAAACACCCGTGTGAGCAGCAGAACAATTGTTAAAATGATGACACATGATGATACAGAGAATGTATTTCTCATCAGCCTTCGTTTTTTTCCCCTAGTCTGAAGCCTAATGACAGCCCAGCCACTGCATTTGTGTCGAGTGAGAAAAGTGACCCTCCATCACTGACAGCCTCATCTGCCTCAAATACATGTATTCATGGGATTTCAATATCACGAGGACTAGCACAGAAATCTGAGATAGCTCTGCCAAAGTAGTCGCCAGAGCGTGTTTGCAAATATTTTGAACACTGTAGCTCAGGAACAGGTCATGATGGAAGCTTCACCATATAGCACAGATGCTGTTTCTTTTTCACGGTGCGTATTTTAATCCGTCACAGCAGGAGAAGCATAGGTAGGAACGACATGGCATTAATGGTGACCTGGTTCTATTATGTGTCTCAGTAAGCCATGATGATGAAGCTGTTGACACAATAACAGGATCTCTAATATACTTGTGCTTTTCTGCTTATATGTTGAAGAATCTGCTATTTAAAAAAAAAAAAAAAAAAAAAAAGGTTATTGAGGTATATAGCAACATGTATGCTCAACATTGTACAAGATGTGATTCTACGTTGCTGCACCTTAATGAAAAAATACTGCAGATTGATTATGTTAATTCCATCCTGGTTAAGTGTATTTCCTCAGCTGTATCGCTGATCACCAGTTGACATGTTTATGTACAACACTGAACCTTCTGACTCCTATAAGTTAAGTATGATGTGTTTGCCACATATACAGACAGAACTGCAGCACCTGGAGCTGCCCTACTTTCAAAGTCTGTTTTGAGTCTAAGGATTCAAAGTCTGAGTTTTATCTCATTAAGTTAATGATAAGGTTGGTGCAAAAATAATAATATCTCAGACATTTCACAATGTTAAAATTGGAAAAGTGGCATTCTGTACTGCTTTAAAATACATTACACTTGCTCTACTAATGTTCAAAGTGACGTTTTTTGACTTGGAAATGCCTGTTTATTTGTGGATAATTATGTATTGTTGATTAATATGTCTGTTTGTTTTTAATTTTAAAAAAAGTAGTATTTAAGTGCATATGTGCCAGAAAGTTAGTCAGAAAACAATTCGTCTTATTCAAACATGTAACCACATGTACAAACAACTAGTTACTGAGTTTTCTTGATAAAACAATAACACTGCTTTTTCTTTTCTCGCCACTTCAAGCCTTCTCTGCTGCAGACAAAAACACCGGTCCTGCTCATGTAAGTGCTGCCCCTCAGATTCTCGCTGTGGTTGTGCTTCATCATGTGGCTCAGCAGTTTGTGTCAGACTTATTGAGAGTCTCTTCGATTCCCTGCAGGCAGCAGAGCGCCAGGAGCAGACTGCACACAGCTCTGTTGGTGAGTGAAGGATTTCACTGCAGGTGATCTGATGTTTCGTCCACAGCAAACAGCCATTTAAGGCAGCAGACCCTTTATGATTTTCCAAACTGACCTTTTGCATTTTGGGCTTAAAGTCTCCATTAGTGCGTAGTTGTACAGTGTGAATGAAAAGTTGAATGCAATTCACTACAATAAATCAAATCTGATGTGAGGAGGAGTTTAACCCTCTTTACCACCAAGCAGTCCTCCATGGATAGAAGTAGAGAGAACTCAGAAATGTCCTCTGTGCAGTTTAATAAAGATGTAATGCCAATAATCATAAAAAAAGAAAGAAACAAAATGTGTATTATTCGATTGAAAAAAGCTGCAATCAGCATGTACCACATTTTTCAAAGTGCCCACAGGTGCACTTCCAATACTGGAAGAAAATGCTGATTCAACGTGCTATAGATTTTTGCTCTTGATATTTTTGTCTTTTATTTGCTCTGTGTAAACACAATCTGCAGTTAAGTTCCTGAATTTCTACCATGTTGGTTGCAGATGAGTCACTAATGGCTCTCCACATGTGCTGAGGTGTGCAGAATTTTTTGTCTTTTCACAGAATCTGGTTTGTGCAAGAAAAAAAAAAGTAATGTTTTTATATTAAGCATGTAGAATAAAGAGATGTTAATGAAAAAAATCACAATGTTACACTTAGTTTTAGACCATGATGCAATTAAACTTCACACATGATTTGCTAAAGAAGCATTTGAAAGTAGAAAATAAAAAAAAAATTCTTCCTGTTTTTACATTTTCTGACTCTGATAAATGGTGTAGTTATGGCTTTATATATATATATATATATATAAAAGGCCTCTCAAACTCACTGGCAGATGTGGAGTGTCAAATGGTTGAGGAATAGTTTGACAAGTTGAGAAGTAATCATTATCAGCTTATTTGCGTTTTGCTAAGAGGTAGATGAGAAGAATGACACCACTCCAACATCTGCACAGTAAATAGGAAGCTACAACCACTGGCCAGCTTCACGTAAAATCAGAAATAAAGGGAAACAGACTTGAATGTTGAATTAGAGCTTTGTATTTGCAACGTTGTGTCTCTTTGCTTTTCCTAATTTGTCATGGCTCTACCTTGTCTGTGTATGTTTTTTCTCAGGGTTGGACGAGTTGGTGATAGTGATCCAGAGTCAGAGGAACTCCTATCACGCCCGTCGTGGTGCTCAGAGGAAGGTGGAGATTCTGCAGCAGGCAGCTAGCCTTGGGCAGGTAACATCTAGCAGGCGCTGCACAAAATATTGCCGGGACGCGAACCGGCAACCTTCTAGCTGCGAGGCAACGGTGCTAACCACGTGTAGCTCAAAACTAACACCTACGTTTATCAAATTACACGATAGTCAAGGTCAGGTTGGCTGCTAGCTGGAAGCTCATTTGGGTGATACAGCAGAACAATGACCTTAAATGTTAAAGTAAATTTACGACAGAATGACTTTAAAGAGGATTCATCTTTTGGAATGGCCCAGTTAGAGCCCAGACATTAATTGAATGTCTGTGTATTGACCTTAAGAGACATTTACATCAAACATCCTCAGAAATTGGCGGAGCTGAAGCAGTTCGGTCCAAAAGTCCCGGTGAAGGCCGCACAAGTCCGATCCACAACTACTGAAACACTAGTTTGAGGTTAAAGTGTCATTATATCCAAGGGTTCTTTTATTTTTATACCAGAAAGATGAATGTTTGTCTTCTTTTATTCTATTTCTGTTTGGCAAGATTTTTTTTTCACAGCATTTATTTATTATTGGCCAACATCACGTGTAGTTATTAGGCAAAACATAAAACATGAATTTGATCCCTTAATATGAAGCACAAGATTAGGAAGCTGAATGCAGGGTAATGATGTCATAAGCAGCTTTATTCTTAGTGTTTGTTGGTGACTTTTTACATGGATTTCTGCATTGCTGTGGTATTACACAGACACCAATAGGTGTCCTCCTTGTCATGGAGCCTTTCTACCTGAGCTGTCAGTGTGCCTGCAGGGCGGCTCTGGAAACTAATTTAGTTAAAGATCTCAGTGAAATGAGATGGCAGAACATGACAGACTGCAATAGAGGCATGGTTGTTTATTTTCTTTTGACGGGAACTGGCATTAGGAAATAAAGACATGGTCACGCACCACTTCTTGATTTTATCTCCAGCAGCGTTTTTTGGTCCAGACAAGCAACTCTGACTGAAAAAAATGGCACAAGGCTGTCGTATTAAAAATCTGTATGTCTGCGGCTGATGTGAAAAACAGAAGTTGTTTCAACATCAGTTTTCCCTGACAAATGAGCATTTTTGTGGTTAAGCCAGAAAGTATGTAGTTCATTTTATAGCCACAATAATCTGGGCAACACTAAACACACACAGAGTTTTTGCGACATGGTGTCACCAGCAGAGAAAGACAAGCAGCCCAGTAGGTTTGTGAGTCACTAATTAGTACTACAGCAAACAAACCACTGTGTTTTGATGTGAAAAAGCTCTCTGTAGAGTACCACAATTGTGTCTTAGATGATAAATAATATTTGTCATCTGAAATGCATTCAATACGGTCTTTCAACCTTTCTCTGAGCCAGACCTCTGCAATCACAAAGTAGCTTATAAATAACAAATGCAGCAGCAATGTACTGGGAGCAGAAATGCGACACGTCTACCATTTTTTTGTGTGTGTTGCTGTTAGTGTGAGAAAAAAAATGCATCCAGGGAGAATTTTGAGAAGCATGGTTCTAAAGTACAAAACTGAGTTAGATGTTTTCCAGTATACCAGCAAAAACAAAACTAACTTTTACAGTTTTAGTTGGATATATTCACAAATATCTCATAAACAGCCCTATTATCCATTTATTTCTATAACTGTGGGGCAGTGCATCTAGTTTGCATAGCCAGTATAACAAGCATCACAGTGGATTTTATACAGAAAAGGTCAAAATAAGGGAGAAAATGTAAACTATATACAAACAGGTGAGACAAAAACTACCCTACTCTCATTTTTCATATGTCTGACATTAATTTGATTGATCTCCTGATGCTCATCTTATTTGTGCACCATATAAAAATGCTGAAGATGGATTCAACATGAATACAATCAGACATCTCTATAAATCATTACAGGTTCTGTGAGCCTCATATTGGCTGAGTAGCAAGAATTCTGGCACAGAAATGAAAAAAGAGGAACTGAGTCTGAATGTAAACTTGCCAGAAGACATTTTAATATACATATTTTAACATCAACCCACTGAATTCCCGGTTATGGTAAATGGAAACATTTACACATAAATTGAATCAACTTGCTAATATTTTATAGGGCCTCCGCAAAAATATCCTGTCAAACAACCCAATGGCTCCACATCAGCCGAAGTGGTGGTAAGAGAGGAAAAAATAAGGCTTTTATTTCCAAAAAAATCCTGAGTTAAACAACATTGTCAGTCATCAGACGCTGCGTGGCCTCAAACTGTGTTAACAGAGGCCGTCTCTTCGGTGAGCTTTTCTTTTTCTTGAGGTCGTGCTTGAGGGTAGTGCAGACGGTTCGCGCACAGCAAGATCAAATATATTCGATTTTCAGCGTTAGTGGGGAGTACAACTTCATGTCAAATCTTTTTTTTTTTGTCTAATTTCCTATTTTAAAAAAAAAGGAGTTGGTGCTGATACAGGGAGTCTGCGAGCAACTCTACAGTCTTGATTTCATAAGATAGTGTTTGTGTACCTGGCTGCAACCTGCTAAATGCAGCGTGGTTCAGTGTTTAATCTGTAACGTCCCTCTCTGCCTCCTCTTTCTTGTCTGCCTGTTACCTGCTTTCCTGGCTGTCCTGGTTATTTTTTATAAAGTGATGAAAATGTCCTGGTTTTAAATGTACTGAAATTATAAGGCACCTTTGAGTAAACTTCGAGTATCATTTGAGTATCTCATTGCCGGCCTGAGTGTCCTGGTTGTTGGTAGTCAAAATGGTCACCCTGTTGTTGCTGGTTGCTGTTTCGGTTTGCTGAGTTTGGTCCTGCAGTCGGAGCATGCCGGCAGGAGTGTGCTATCAGCAATGATTTTCCTGCATATATAGCAAAGTAGTCCATTTGGGAATTTTGTTTTGTCTTGTTTGTGTAGTGTGTGGTCAGAGCAGTGGCCTCAGGGACACATCTATAGCTGCCAGGTGAGTAACCAGCTTTCTGAGGACCTGACTAGGCTATTAGGTTGTCTGTTTGGATACCCTACTACTCTGCATGAAGACGAGGATACAATGAGGTAGGTGAGTTTGGGATAGGTGGATGCTGTTGATGCTGCTGTGGTTTGTTTTTCTCTTTGTTGCAGAGCACAACTATCATGGTAGGAATAGAGACGTTTGTTGCTGCTCCGTGTTAGGTTTCTATACGCGGCGCTAAAGGTCACTTTCTGAAAATTGCTGAGAAGTGTGATATTGGTTTAAGCGGTATCAGTGATAAACGGCTTTAAGAAAATGTAAAGGCTGTGACAGCGGGATTGCAGATGTGCTGCTGCAGACGCCAGTTTTGAAGTGATAGCTAGAAAATGTATCTGCTTATCTGCTGACATTCCTTCAGTATCTCCCAAAAGTTGCTCCATATAGGTCGAGTGGTCGCTGTGTGGACTTGCAAACCATTAAGATAAGTTAAAAACTGCCTCGTTCTGTAGGCAGCAGCCCAAAAGTTCAATCTGTCTGTGTTTGCCAAAAAGACAGCAGTGCCATTTCATGTGACCAGTGCTGCTGTTGACTGGTTCCATAGTTGGCACATGGTCCTGTTTTTATATCTCATGTGCTTGTTTACAATGGTTTCACTTAACCTACAAACTTCATTTTATTAGTGTCTTTCTTTAATAGTACTGTGCTGTATGTGGACTGGCATTTGGGATTATAAAGTCACTCCCTGCAGTGTTATTAAAGTACAAAATCAACACTGCAACAGTTAAACATTGCCAGATTTACCATCTCTCTTACTCCCACTGCTCCCTCTCCCCCCTGTCCTGTGCACAAGCATGAACGTGGATGACTGCAAATGTGCACAGGACACCTTGGACTAGTGGTGGCAATAACTCTCATTACTGTTGAAGAAATACACTCATGGTTTTGACTTATGGCTCCATGTTCTCGTTTTGTAAATTAAACACTGACCTATGTTGAGTAGTGTTGTATTTCAGTAACTAAGAGAGTTGCTGTGTCTCTGTCATAGTGTAAAGTATTTAGTTTTCCGAAAGTGTTTTTGTTCCATTTTAATGTTCATCATCATGGCTATTGTCTGACACTAACTGCATCCAAAAAAAAGTACTTTTTTAAACTCATAAATTTAAAGTTTGGAGCTATTCCTAAAGTCATTTCATAGAGGTTAATACATACGAGCCCAAATGTCACTAAGAGAATCTCTAAGTGTGAAAAATGTGGATATTCTGGATTGTAATTACCATGCGTTCCCAGTAAGAGGTTTTATGAGAAGCAATGTTCACTCCGTGGACGTGGACAAGAGGCTCATCTCATTTCTCAACTTTAAGCCTCCTCATCTCATCTGGCCTCAGTCCTCCTCGATGGGAGCCAAAAATCAATCTTGAAGGATGTCTCAGTTCCTAAAATGCATCTGAAGGTGAGGGAATCGAGAAGGGATCATTAAATGCAGCAGTGATGTGCCACATGTGATACTTAACGTACATTAAACTGATGTAAAACAGCAGCTCAGAGGCGATAATGTCTGCCTTTTGCCTTAAGTCCTCATGTTTCTTCCTCATCTCCTCTTCTCACATCTCCAGACGAAGATGTGAGAAGAGGAGATGAGGAAAGAAGAATTCATGAAACTGAGAAATGAAAAGGCAGAAAGATTTTCGGGCCCTATGCAGCCTGAGAGGAAGTCACTTTGTAGTCTTGGTTAAATGTTATGTATATTTTGGTTAACTGTTATAGTCTAGCAGAAAGGAATTTGAATAAAACATAAAGAAAAAGCAATAGACAGTATAGCTGATGTCAACTATTCCTGGATTTTCAAAAAATAGATTTGTTATGGGGATAGAGATGTTTAAAAGGTCATGTCAAATAAAATCATACTTGCATACTGTGAGAAGGGCTACTGTGCCCTCTGAAAGTGCTCGTGAAAGTCTTTTGATTTTCATAAATAGCACATTTGCATTCACTGCCGTACCATCTTCCCTGCATGTGGGCTTGTGCTGACAGTTTGTGATGCGCTGTCTTAGCACGGTAAAGTGCAGCAAGCGAAAGCTTTTTCGAGATTCGTTTCCTGTCGCTGCTTGATTGTTGTGAGGGCAGGTTGTGCGTCATGTGTCTTTTGACTGACGTATAACCTGATGTTTATTCTGACTAAAGGCCGGCATTAAAGGTGGCAAACACTCTTAAGTCTGACAAGCTGACGTATGCCTGTTGTCTAATTTCTTTAAATGGGATTTTTCTGCTGTACTTCACAGTTACACGGCTGTGATCATGGCGGCGCTAAAATATGAGCAGCAGCATCCCAGTTTTAATTTAATGCTTTGTTTACAAAGATCCATATTCACATCTTTCACACATCCTGGCTCAGTATTTATAGGGGAAAAGGTTTGCCATATCACATGGCTCTATATTTGTTTGTGGCTCTACGTACAGGCTTTTAATCCAAGATTTCAGTGCCAGTGCTGCATCTCCTCAGGTTTGTTATCATCACGTTGTCGTCATTTGGCTACTGCTCTCTTTTTTCCCCACAAGTCAACATCACACTTACAGCAAAAGGTTTAAAACACCATTACACCCTCAGAATCTTAAGAGGATCTAGAAAGAAGTGCATGTGTTTGCATAAAAACTTAACTAATAATACTTTTTTGAAAATACTATATGTCTATGAATTTAAAACACACTAAACAACTTGGCATTTGTCATGCCTTAACCCTCTAAACCCTCAAATCCACTGGCAGGTTTGAAAGACGGGGAATGAATTTAAGAGAAACTGTAAAGTCAGAAAGAATCATCAGATTTTCAACTTTCCGATGGTCCCTGAACTACTCATCTGTGGTGTGCCGTTCTGTCTGGAAAATTAACCAAATCTAAGCTTAAAATCACAGAATGATCAGCAGCATAATCAAAACGACTTCCTTCTAAATGTTTCATTTAAACATTTGCTAGAAATAAAAAATTTGCACCAACGTGATTATGTGAAAACCAAAAAGTTCTATAATCCTCTGTACAACTGTAAAGCATAACTGACTCAGCTGCGACCAATAGTTGTCAAAAATGAGTATTATAAGTAGTAGTATAGAAATTAATTAGAGAGATTAAAAGGGAAATAAAACAGACTTAATAAAATAAAAGCAGCATGGCTCAAAAAACATTATATAGAGGAGCAAGTTTTCAGCAGCTTATTGAAAGATAGCATGGTGCAATATCTTTCTGAAGCTAATGTGCACTAAAAGTTCTGTATGTATGGTAACACCTGTGGGCATTTGGAAAAATAATGTATGCATGAATTACACTTACAATTAATTCAACCTTAGTTTTTTTCTTTCTTATGATACATGGATGTCATATCACACAAGGCATTTTGCATTCTCTCTACTTCTAGCCATAGTTTCCATACAGGTGCAGGAAGGTCCAGTCGGTGAAAATGTGATGGAAGCGACAAAAAAAACAAAACAAAACAAAAAACACACACACATCAGCTGGCATATCAGCTGCATGGTGTAACATTCTCATTGTTTCTTTCTCCTTATTAAACATTTACAAGGCCCTGTATTAGGTCACACTAAAAAAAAACTGAAATTCTCCTCCAGAGTTCTGAGCCTGTAAACAAATTCTGAAAACCATCTTACAAGTAATAAAATCCTATGACACATTCATCAAGCAGCTCACTCCTACATAGAGAAAAGTGCATGTGTGACCTTTGTAGCAAAGTTTGGGCAGTTTTTAAAATAGACTTGTACACTTGAGTTAGATGCCGAGGCGGCTGCCACGCTCATGTGTCCTTTTAATTTGAAGCTACAGCCAGTGTTAAGTTATTTGTCACCAACACCTCTAAAACTTCCTGATTAACTGGTTCAATCCTGTGTTAGTAATAATGGGAGGTTGCAGGGTTTATGCCTATGACTTAATAAAGTGAATGCTACATATTACCAGTGAGAGTTGTATGTCATGTTGTGTTGCAGCAGCACCTCTCCATAAATAACTGACAGTGTGTTCCATGTTATTTAGTCACACTGACGACCTAATCCACTGACGTAAGCATTGTTTTTCAAAGCCCTATCTGCAGCTTTGCGGCCTGGAATAGATTTCTCATTGACATAAATCAAAGGCCGTCTACTTTCTTTGGGGTCACTTGGTTCTGGAAATAACAATGCATGTAATTTAATGAGTGACTTGATTTACGCCTTTAACAAGAAAGAAGCAAATATCAACTTCCACTGACTACTTGTGGCAGCATTGCTCCATTGAAGAGGTTTGCGAGCTTTTCAGTATGAGTCAAAACCTTCTGAATTCCCTCTTTCCTCTTCTGTTGAGGTTTTTTTATTGTCAAAACTTTTCCCCATCGGTTAGTTTATGCAGCTTACATGCCAAGATGGGAAGTACACTTACTCAAATACTCCACTTAGGTACATTTTTAAGGTAACTGTACTTGAGTATTTCTATTTTATGCTGCTTCATACTTGCACTCCTCAACATTTCAAAGAAAATATTACACTTTAATTTATTTTACAGCTAATTATTGGTAAAAAATTACATTGAACAATTACATTGTTTTGGGTTTTTTTCTCCTTCTTTCCCACCTCATTAGCCATCTCATGACTGCTCAGATTTATCCTGTCACCTTTTGGAGGGAGTCCTGTCTTGGCTACTTTTAACTAATAGTTGAAATGTTTCTGCAGAACAATTGCTTTGGTACTTTTACTTTTTGCATGGTTCAGGGAGAAGCTCATGTACTGCATTTACAGTACAGTGCCTCCTAGTGGTACAATTAGTAATGGATTTGAGACCTTCTAAAAAACAGCGTTGTTTTAAATATTCATTAGGTAACACCTGTGCAGTGACTTATTACTTATAAATCCTCTAACAACAACGATTCGTATTGGAGTGTTATATATATATATATATAAGGTCATATGCTATCCACGCTGCATTAAAGTGTAAATAAAGGGACTTTCCAGATCAGACTCACTGGTACATGAAAGTAACAAACAAAGACACAGAGTTTGTTCCCACAATAAATTGAATAAAGTGTTTTTGTGCTGTTTTCTTTCGTGTGACTGCAGGATCATGGAGAATTAAGTTAGCTACATTATGTAAAATTCAGTTATGTTTGATGCAGGGAGTTCCTGTTGTTGTTCTTCTCCATGAGTTGTCAGAGTACGAAGGGGTCTGGAGTGTCCTCCCTGCGCTTCCACTGTGAGTACTGAGCCCACATATGGAGATGATAAACAAATCAGTTGACTCACATTCATTTAATTTAGCCTTAATCATTCCTCTGTGTAATATAAACACAAACAGCTAATGGCTTCTTGTGGGTCTTTCCAGTCTCGCTGCCTCTCACAGCCAAGAAGCATCCTGGTTTTTCTTCACAGAGGAGGAAACCGCAGTCACACTGCCGGCTCTGCTGCAGGTCCTCAACAGATATCAAGTAAAAGAGGTGAGAATAACACACACACACACACACACACACACACACTGACACACAAAAATGTTTCTTCCAACACTCACTGTACACTGTTTATCATTCAGTTTTCAGCCCTTTGTGCTGTTTGAATATTTTCATCTAGTTTACAACATTGATGGATATGTTAAATAAGCCCTAACTTTTGTTTCGTTTTTTGCAATTCACAGGAATGGTTTCTGGGTAAGCGTCTCCATGACAACGAGGCCTCCATCATCCACCACTATGCTTTCTCTGAGGACCCCATTTCCTTTGGTTACCCTGACCCGGCAGCCGGCTGGGCTCTCAGTGCGCCGCTGCTCCAGAGGTGTCTGTGTGCACATGTGTGAAAATGTCACCAATATGTTTCTATAATTTTTTTCCCCAAAGAAAAGTCTTGTAGCTGACAGCCTGAAAGCCTTCCCGTGGTTGTTTTAAGGTTATAGAGGAAAATCACCGAATTCAAGACAATAGAAAGAAGGACATACAGAACCTTTGTTCACCATTAATGAAAAGAAAACACACAGTCACATTTTGTACAGAAATCAGCACAAAAATGATCCCAGGAACTTCTTTTTTTAAAATTCAGATTGGCTGTTTCCTCCACTAAGCATAGACTCATCATAGGATTCAGTCTTTACCATCACATTTACCCAAACTTTACAGTCTGGAGCTTTAGTGTTTTCCAACACCAGTGTAATCACACCACCAGCAAACACAAAGCACACAATTTGATAAGCGTCCATAATTTTGACTAACTAGTGTACGTTCCCACCCACATATAGGAAAGTTTCTCCTTCCTTTCTGCTATTTCCCTTCTTTCTTTAACTTTCTTGTGTTTCAGACTTGCAGACCGGCTCCAGCGTGAGAATCTCAAATCGGATTTTACTATCGACTTGAAACACGAGGTACGAGTTCTGTGAGTCTGTATCATCTGTCTTCCCGCGTCCATCACTATGACAAAATAATTGCTGCTGAGACTCGGTTCTGGTTCAACTCTACGTTGCGCAACCGCTGTGAAACATCAGCGTCGTCATTCGGGCTGCCTGCTGAGCTGAGCTGCTCAGATAGATAACAGTGACAGAAAGGATTTCCCCCACGATTGACTTGTCTTTGGCTGAAAAGCTCTCCTGACTCCCAGCTGCTTTTAAACAGCTTTTGATAGGTTTGCTATTATGGTATCTATGCAAAAGCTTGGTGTGTGTGTGTGTGTGTGTGTGTGTGTGTGTGTGTGTGTGTGTAATATGGACAATCAAGTATGTGACAATTACTGCTTTTCAACAAGAGCCTTCACCTATTTTTGCATTCTTACAAAAAACATATTTTTTTTGATTGAAAAATTTGAATGAACTTCATAGGAAAAAAGACACCCTTTCTGTATGACAGTTTTTGATTTGTCCTTATATTATGGGGAATTCAAGGTCCAAGTAAAGCTGCGTGTTACTTTATTTTGTGGTGTGCAGAGCCAGCATAGACATCAGTTCCTACCATTAGCCCGTAAGTTGGATCTGTAACTTCGGGACAAGGATTGGTCCAAATGAACTGAATAGAACTGATATAATTGAAATAATTCCCAATTTGCCTACAAGTAATAGAGGATGAGTCATTGGCCGTGTGACTGTGTGTGACGTAAAGTGACCGAGTTATTAATAGGTCAAGAGCTGGAAGGCATTAAAGTATGTTTACAGTTTGGCGACCTGAGGTGACCTGCTATAAATATCTGATGCTGACCGTGGAATGGTTTTGGTACCATGATAGTGACTGTCAGTGTTTTCATTTTAGTTAAGGATACTCTTGCTCTACATTTGCAGAACAATGAATTAAAAAATATGCTTCAAATCACATCTTCAACTGTTGATCCATTTGACCACATGTGAGTCTGTTTTTTTTTTTTGTTTGTTTGTTTGTTGTTTTTAGATTGCGTTGTATATTTGGGAGGAAGGAAACGGTCCAAAGCTGACAGCAGTTCCAGAGTTTTGCACAGAACAGAGAGACAACTGTGCTTCCACGTTTACAACCTACCTGCCCAACTGTGTATGCACAACTCTGCTTTCTATATTTTATGATATTATACTGGAACCTATACTGTGAAAATTAAACTGCATCTGAACCTGGGTGTTCCACAGTTATGCCTTCAATATACCTGTTACTTGAAGATCTTTCCTAAATCACAAGACCTTGTTGTGATGTCAGTTGTCATCAAGACGTGATGGAAATTGTTCACTTGAGGCAGTTGTTTAGGAAACAAAATAGACACTGTATTAGTTTTCTTTGATTTAGTTTGAATAACCAAATATGGCAACAGGGAAACAGATGCATAGATGGTTTTGTTTATGCTTTTTTCAGTGAGTAGTAATCTGTCATCTTAAATAGCATTTCCAACTGGGCTGTCCAGTTTAGTTAAATGTCAAACACTTCAGGGCTTATTGAACAGAAATACAAACGGGAAAAAGTCCAGCAGGGCTGCAAGAATCGGTGAGCTGAATCAGCCTGAAGGCTAGATGGAAACCCAGTGGACGATGACTGAGTGGGATGAAAGATCTCCGCGGCATTCGTTTGTTGAGTTGAGTCAGAGCAAATACAAATGTACGCGAAGAATAAATGTCACAAGGCTAAAAGGGAAAGTGGGCACACCAACAATGCACGTCTGAGTAATGGGTAAAAAATAAGGATTCTTACATCTTTAATGTAGAAGCGAGGTTTGTGATTCCCTGGAGCACATCCATCCATCCATCCATTATCTATACACCACTTAATCCTCACTACGGTCACGGCGGGGCTGGAGTCTATCCCAGCTGACTTTGGGCGAAGACCCAGGACAGGTCACCAGTCTATCACAGGGCTACACTTAGAGACAGACAACCAAGCACACTCACATTCACTACAATTTAGAATCACCAATTAACCTCAACAAGTTTTCTGACTTGTGGGAGGAAGCCGGAGAACCCGGGACGCGAACTGGCAACCTTCTTGCTGCGAGGCAACAGTGCTACCAACTGTGCCACCTTGCAGCCCTATGAAGCACATGTTCTTTTTTATTAATGGTTTCAGTGAGGACACCTGGGATCCTTCTGCGTGGAGTTTGCACGTTCTCCCCGTGCAGCGTGGGTTCTCTCTGAACAACCTTACTGAGACACCTGGATTGGTTTTAGTGTTTTAGCTACAAGGCAAAATGTGTTTTTTTCCTTTAATGAAGACAGAAATTGTTTCTCTTCCTTTCCTCTTCAGGGGGACCCGGTGCCAAAGAAGGATGTTTTTGTTGCGGTAAAAACCTGCCAGAAATTCCACTCAGAGCGAGGTGTGTGTATTATTCACCGAAATTTGAAGGACGAATCATTCAGTAAAAACATTCATATTCTGTAGTGGTGGAGGACGCTGTTGGGATTGTTCATTGAAGTCAAGGTGTAAATGCATTAGTGTAAAAAATAGTTTATTCTGATTATAAAGGTCCTGTTTTCATGTTTTTACTGAGGTAATTGCTCAGAGGTTTTATCAGCAAAATGCCCTTAAAAAATTAAATACTTATCCTGCAGGAAAATGGCCCCTGGACATATTATATATTTTTATGAAAATGTTTATACAGATGCATCAATCTGCAAAGAGACATTTACTTCTCTCATTGCCTAAACTAGTTTAAATTCTTTTTGGATCAATAAACAGCCACAACATTAAAAACCACCTGCCTGTTGTTGCGTCGGTCTCGCTTGTGCCGCCAAAACAGTTCTGACCCTCCTGGACATGGTGTCTCTGGTCCGACTGAGACTATGGCAGCGGATCCTTTTAGTCCTGTCAAAGTAACACCCACATAAACTCCAAAGTTTCTCAGAGGAACCTTTCATTCAGACAATATAATCAGTGTGAATCACTTTACCTGTCATTGTAGCTCTACAGTGTATTTACAGGTAACTATTCCAGTGTTTGTTTCTTGAATAGAGTCACAAGCCAAACATGTCTTGTGATGTGTGTTTTAAAAGCTAACTATGCTTCATGGTTTGTTAGCATAAAACTAAAGTGTAACAACAGCTGTCAAATAATAGAAAATACCTAAATATGCTTGCAAGTTTGGAAGGCATGTTGTTTTTTAAAAATTGCCAAAAGTACATTTTGTATCAGAGCCAGAAAGTATGGAAACAGAATGCTTTATCAGATTATTCACTTTTTGACAGTCATTTAAACATATCATATGTGATGTAAAGGGCCATCACAAAACCTTACTAAATCATGGCCTAACATTGTGATTTGTTATCAAAGTCTCTTTATTCTACATTTGCCGAAAATAAATGATTTTCTTTAACCAGATTTTCTACCCAACAAAAAAACTCTGTGTACTTCAGCCATTAATGACTCAGTTCACACCAACAATCTTGCAACTAAAAGGTCAGGGCTTTTCAGCTGAACTGCAGGCTGTGTTTACACAAAGCAGAGAGAGACATGTATGGAAACAAAGTAGTAAAATATCTGCAGTATGTGGTGTCACCACTGGTCTTTCCAGTGACGGTAACACATTTGGGCACTTCTTTGGAATCAAAAGTAAGTGCTGTACATTTTGGTTCCATTATTTTTGTAAAATGAACAAGCAAAGAAATTCAATTTGATTTTTTTCTTTTTTATGATTAATGGCATTTCAACTGTGTCACGCTGCTCAATAGCCATTTCTGAGTACTCTCTCCTTGGAGCCATGTTGGTGCTGTTTCCATACAGGTGCAGGACTTTATATTGCAGTAAAAAATGAGCCCAAAGTGAGTCAAAATGTGACAGAAGCAAAAAAATGCCCAGAAACTGCTTGGGGTTGTCAGTATACTACCTAAGTAAGTTCCTTTCCATCACCTACATGCCTGTCATCTAACTATATCACTGTAATATTTTAAGCTGCCTTTTTAGTGTAGTACTGCATTATTTTGTCCATTGTAAAGAAGCATTTCAAGGCATCTGCTTACGAGCTTTTTGCAACTTTATTTGTACCAAAATTAGATAATTTATTCGCAAATGTGAAGCCAGTTATTGATAGCTTGTGTTCTACTATTAGTGTGAAAGTTCGATTGCTGCTGTTGTTGGTTCAAGTTTCCCACATACACTGTACAACGACAGAAAGGGAGGATTATCAAAAATTTAAATGGAAATTGATGGGTTGTTTAGATGAAAAAGTTTGTCTACAGTCTTTACTTTGCTAACAGTTTGGTCGTCATTCAGTCCTCGTTAACCTGTCTGGTTTGAGCTACTTGTTGAAATTCACGACCATGTCGAGATTGTCTGCTTAACTTGCAACAGTTTGCGTAATTATCCAAAACACTGACGCCTGTTTTTAGGGTCAACTTGAGCCAGCGGTTACGGACAGGCTAGTTAAAGCAATTAACAAAATTAAAAAGTGGAAAGAACAATTTATGACAAACTTCTCTGTGACTTGGCTGTTGCTTTAAATTCAAGTCGCACGCTGTTGTACACTTGATTCATTTGCGGATGTGTTTCAGAATACATTATGGTCCCACTTGTCATGGTTAAAAATTCCACTGTAATTGGGAGTTTTAATTTTTTTAGCTTCAGTGTAAATTCTGCTTTTATCCTGATCAACATGCAGCGAGGAAGCATGCAGTTAACCAGTGTCTCGTTTTTTTCTCCCCCTATTTAGACGCATTAGACATCCTCCATTATTTGATTACGCAGCCCTTTCAATTAGCCACTTGGAGAGGTTTAATTATGGGCTTTGGCAGCCATCAAGCTGTGAACTGAACAGTGCTGTGTGCATTTCTGTGCTTCAGAGAGAATGTTGTTTGAGGTTCTCTCCTTAACTTCGTTTCCTTTGCCCTTTTCTCCCCACAGTCCCCGTGGTGAAGGCAACCTGGGAGAAAGACGCCGGGTTTTTACAGTATTACAGCGACGTCACTGATGCCTCCATACCGGCGATCAGCCTGGGAGTTCCCAACACTGAGAGAGGTGAGCTTATCAGCAGCTTGTACTGCAAGAAAAATCTAAGATATGTTGACAATCAGCCAACTTTGGCATCCCTCTGAAGGAGCTGGAGGGGAAAGTTGCTGAATAAAGTCTACATCAAGTTACTGACATGACTGTAGGGACGACAGTGTTGCTGAGTCAGTCTGCCAGTTTTGTCTACACATCTAAGCAATATATCATAATTACAGTGACTTTGGAGGTCTCCTAACTTTTCCTCCAGCCCACGAGGTTCACAGTTTTGCTTGTGAGTGAAATGCCAAAACAGTTTTGTATTTCTCTTAAATTTGCTGCACATCTTCAAGGACCCTGGTGGCTATACAGTGCTTAACCATTTTATTAGACCACCACACAATGTTAAGGTTGATGCCACAGCTGCCCTAAATTTAAAGTTATTGGTAATGACCAAAATCATCTTTTATGTTTCTAGATGTTTAATACACCAGTATGTAGAAACCAAAATTATATTTTTAATGCTAGAATATAATTATTATTGTTATCTGTGAATTTTCAAATTTACTGTTTTACAAAAAAACCCTGAATAAAATAGTAAAATGCATTATTATCTCATGATTAAGATATCAAATTATAGTTATTTACTTGCATTCCTGAGCAGAAAAATTAGTTTTAGTGGTTGAATGTTATGCTTGATTAACTTCTGACTTCTCAGAGAAGCCCAGTGAGCCGCTTAAATGTGGGGATAAAACGTGAATTCAGTTTGAAATCCTTCATTCCTGTTCGAAATGGTTAAAACACAGAGAGCTGAGTACAAATTAAAGCACTTCATGATGCTGGATGGTGCTTGACAAATTAGACAGGTAGTCTAATAAATGTGTTAAGCACTACATACACCAGTCTTGTATGTATTTATGTGTGGCACTGCTCATCAGTGCAATTAATGTGTAATTAGCCAACGAAGAAATGAGATAATGGTGCATATTTTCCAGACGGCCTCATTAATTGTGTTGCACTCAGTTGTTGACATGAAAAGTGATTAATGTGTTAGGAATGAAAAACGGGGGCCGGACAGTTTAACAGCAGTGGCCAGGCTGAGACTATTAATCAAACTGTGGTGGCAGAAAAACTCATGTGTAGATGTTGTTGTTGTTTTTCTGAGTGGGAAATTACTGTCGGCCAAATAGTGAATTTTTTTGGTCACTTGCTTATTCTTGTCCATCTAGAAAAACACAATCAGAACCCATATATAATACGTCTTTTTTATGGAATCCCTAATTGAAAAACAATCAAAATCTCTAAATTGATATTGCAGTTTAACCTCCTGAGCCCCAAGCAGTTTCTGGGCTTTTTCTTTGCTCCTGTCACATTTTTCCTCCATCCAGCCACATTTTTCACTGCAGTGTAAAATCCTGCACCTCTATGGTAATGACATAACCATAGCTATAAGTAGAAAGAACTCAAAAATAGCTTTAGCACAGTACGACACAGTTATGCCATGAATAAAAAAACATTTTTTAAAAGTGAAAGTGGAATTTCTTGTATTCTTTCAAAAGCGGAGAAACCTGGAATCAGCATGCACAGCATTTTTCCAAGTGAGCAAAGGTGCTACTATTTTACTATTTGCATTTTTAACTTGTTTCTATATACCTGCTCTGTGTAGACACAGCCTGCAGCTGGCTGAAAACATACCTGAATTTTTGCCAGATAGTTGTTGGTTGCAACTGAATCATTATTGGGTTCACGGTTCCTCTGTAGTGTGTGGAATTTTCTGTTTTATTACAGAATCTGGTTATTGTAAGCAGATTAGGAGGGGCAAATTTTAAAATGAGACATGAAAAGTACAGTGTGATAAAATATTTCCATTTCATCACGATTTTAAGCTTACGTTTGGTTGCTTTTTACGTTAAAACTGAGAGCCACACATAAGTTTGAGGGCTATTGGAGGTTGGAAATTTGATCATTCTTTTAGTTTTTACAGTTTCTGGCTCTGATAAATGGTATAATTTAGCATATTTTTTCACAGGGTTAAAGTATTCAGGTTCTTTAAATATGTGCATAGCCCTCCAACAGGTTTCTCTATTAGTTTAATATTGTGTACTAGTTGATTCAGGCCCTGAGAACTACATACGCTCAAGCCTCTGGCTCCTGTATCACCTCTGCACAGCTGGTCAGCCACTTCATGAAGCTGAAATGATTGTCAGTTTCTTGTTTCAGAAAGTAACAGCACTTATCTGACATTGTTAAAGTATGTGTAGAGCATTGTAAGGTTTTTGGACCATCTAATAAGCAGTTTTGAGGAAACATGGCAGATAAATGCAGCCTCACAGAGACACTAGGTCAGCTGCAGACTTGTGTTATTTGTCCTGATGTGGCTCAGTGCTCCATCTTTGATTCCTGTGTGCAGCCACTTCTCTTCACCCTTTTGTTTCCCCATGTTTGATATCAGTTTAAAAAAATAAAAAAAAAGATCTTTTACCCTCTTGAGCACTGAGATTTAAGACTTCTCAGTTCCTGTCTTCACTCAGCCTCAAAGCTGTTTTTTTCCCCCAATGAAGAGGTGGATAGTTGACACTTGAGCTTCCCTGTAATCAGCACTGCACTCAGAAACAATAACTGCACTAAAAACCGGCTGCAGTGAGAAGAGCAGAGACACCGATTTTGTCTCTGTATTGATTTTTGTGGAAGATATCCGTGATTACAGCAAAGATGTGACTGTCACTCCCTCCCATGTGTTTGCGAGTCCATTCGCACATCAGAGGGCAGACAAACTGCCAGCTACGCCTCCGTCTCTTCCGCCTGTCCATTCTTATTTTCTTTTACGCTCCGTCCTGACGTCTGTCCCATTCCCTATTGATTTCCACCCACACTCTTTAATACTGCTCAAGCCTGTTTTTGTTTATTTTCTCATGTTTTCATAGAGAGTCTCTGTCTCCCTGTAGTTTTATACTCTGTGAACTTCAGTTTTTTTCCACATTAATCTTATTCTCGGGAGAATAGCAGCAAAGGAAAAGCCCCTGTACTTCCTTATCTCCATTTTGTCGCCTATAAATACTTACGCACATCGTTTTTCTCATTCATTCCTGTTTGTTTTGAACATAGCTCTCCTCTTTTTCTATTTTTACATTTGTGATTTTGTTTCTTTTAAAAGATCAATAAAGACTTTTAATGGTCAAAAAAGGACAAAATAAACAACAATTAGCCCTCTCCAGCCATACGAGCATCTTTTGAGTCTGCACAGAGGTGATTTGAGCTAAATGCGAACATGCCCTCAATCACAATGATAACTTTTCAATGTTTAGTTGGTGCAAAAGCTTAAATTATCACTAAACACAGCTGTAGTTGTCATTTATGGTAATTTGGTTATATTAACCGACATGTTGGAGAAATGAACATTTTGACCTGATGATGGCATTGGAGAAAACGATCTGTGTCTATTTGCCAGTTTTTTCCGAAGTATCTGATAATACATTTTATCAATATGGCACTTTTTAAAACATAAGTTTCCAAAGTGCTTTGACAGACAAATCAAAAGCAGGATACCCAGAAGGCCATATAACAGCCATTAGATAAAGTCCAAACACATGCAGCATGCAATATGTCATAACTAATAAATACAGTGTCTACAAAGTCTGAAAAAATGGCCAACACAGAGTCACATCTAAGGCTGTAAAGTGGCTCATACATTTCTGTTACTTGGAGCTAGACTGTGATGTGGTTAAGTATAAGCTTAAACTCTACATTAAAACAAACAGGGAGCTGGTGGAGAGATGTTGTGTCGTCTGCTGAAACCAGTAAGAATCCAAGCTGCTGCATCTGAACTAACTGGAGGCAAGAGACTAAAAACTGGTTCATGTACGAGAAGAGGAAGTGGTCCAGCCTGGAAAAAACAAACCCATGAATGACTTCTTTCTGGGTCAGCATGTGGGAACAGCAGTTTAATTCTGGTTTTTAACTGAAGGGAGCTAATAATAATCAACAACATTCCTAAAATTCTGACAGCAGGTTTTGAATTAGCAGACGAAGGACCGAGGCTGCTCTCAATGAGTTTGGAACTGTTTAGGGGATTTCTGATTTGGAGTAACGGAGTTAAAGAAAATGTGTTTGTTTTTGTTTTTTTTTTACATTTTTTGTCTTTCTGTCGTCTCCCTGAAGGACACTGTGGGAAGACATTTGCCATCTTGAGGCGGTTCCTGAGTCAAGCTGCGCCGAAGGCTGATTGGCTGCTCGTTGTTGACGATGATACTCTTATCAGGTAAATGGGGAAAGCGTTTTTGCAGAGCAGACTCATCGTTATACTGCAAAACCTGATGAAATAACCATTAAAAAAGGCCACCAAAACATTGATATGATAAAAATAAAACTAATTGCTCACAGTAGCTCTTTGACTGTATTTCATATGAAGGATTTATTATTTATTCTTTCATTCAGACCTGTGAGTTTCCCTTTGCAGCTGTTATTTAGGCTCAGCATCAAGACCCTTTCATCCTACACATGATATTTGGCAAAATACCGTGCAATAGATCTAGACTTTTGATCTGCGTGTTCATTATAATTTTTCTTTCCATTCCAAAATTCAGTAACTACGAGGTATTGCTCACTGAAACAGGAAAGATGGAGAAAGTAAATGTTCGTGTAATGAAGATTTTCAGTGGTGCATAGATTACAGACTCTCTCTGGAGTATTCTATAGACAGTTTAATATTACTCATTTTACTTTTTCTGCCTCTCAGGCTATCGTAATTATGTTATCATGCTTTTCAATGCTGCTATTTCCAGTGTAGTGTCCACAAAAAGTATAAATCTGTTTTGCTGTTCCTGTACATTGTAAGATCAAAACCAAATGTGATTTCAGCTACTATACCCAACTAAACAAAGTTTTTAATGAATTTAAAGGTAACTTCCTCTCCTCGTAGCAGTGCCATTGATGTTTTTGTGTATTACATTTGCTTTTATGACATTGTTATTGAAAGGTTCTGCACTCGCCGCCACAGGTTGCTTTCACTTGCTGGATAATTATATTTTTTCCCAGGTTCATGAACCAGAGGATGTATAGAGGTTTGATGGACTGACAGTTGTGATAAAACTCATAATAAAATGGGAGAGATTTCAGTTTGTACACACACTTACAGTCCAGAGAAGAGTTCTAATCAAAGGAAAGATATGAGAGTAGACATTGGGTGTTGAACACCTCACCTGAAAATCCTTGCAATGGATATGTCTTGACCTTGTTTTGTGTTTGGGATGTATTCACGCATGCAGCTTACTTGCTCTCTGTCTGCTAATCATCATAGTTTACCTCGGTTGCGGCGACTGCTGCGCTGCTATGACCCAACAGAAGCAGTGATCCTGGGGGAGAGGTACGGCTACGGCTTGGTCCAGAGAGGATACAGCTACACCACAGGAGGAGCAGGGTGAGGCTCTTATCGATGATTCTCTTATCAGCTAAATGGGGAAAGCGTTTTTGCAGAGCAGACGCATAGTTATACTGCAATACATGATGAAACAAGCATTGAAACGACACCAAAACATTTATATGATAAAAAATAAAACTCATGATTCACAGTATAATGTAGCTCTATCAGTAACTTTGACTGTAGAAGGGACGTGGCTGGGTTGTTGATGTTAATGTGAGCTCAGATGGAAAGCAGAACAGTTTCAACTCACGCCATTAGTGTCGGTTTGACTGAGACATTTGTGTTTATTCATCTCTAACAGCCCATGAACCACCTGCACAGACACTCGTGATACTTTTAACAAGACACACAACAAACATTCCAGTGGCAGTGTGCATTTGTGTTCAGCTTAACTGCAAACACATGTCTGGTAGAAGAAGAAGCTTACAAAGTGTCGGACAGGGCGGGTTTAGGATCCGTGGAGAGCAGCAAGAGAGCACGGCCGACATCAGAGCCTTCTCTAAGCCTTTAAATCTTATTAACAGCAATAATTTCCAAAATGACCATTAGCAGACTAATGGCAGGGCTTGAAGTTTTACAAATGAAGCCATAATTTCATTCTGCAAAAAATATTCGACTTAGTATTTCTAAATAAAAGCAATGCTTTCTGAATGGGTGATTTGGGACCAAGGACATTGCACTAAGGTACTTGTGCTTTGGCTTCAGCCTGACGCTCATTGCTTCTGCTTGATCTGAAAACACAGTTGTTCTGCAGGGTTTTAAATTAAAACTCAATGTAAGAAGAATAACAAATGGCCGTGCTGCTAACAGTGTTGTGTAGTGTCTGCTTGTCCTGAAGCTTTGTTGCATGCCAATCATAAAATATACTAAATTCAAATGTCACAGACAACACACTTAATTTATTACATTTAACAGTTTTGATATTGTCAGAAAACTTGAGATAATGAGTGTCATTTAAAATGACGTTCTAACACGTTCAGATATTTCAAAACAACAAAGGAAGCACATCTTGGATCTGACAGTATGTGGGTGGGAATTTGTTTACTTCTCGCATACTGACCACTACATGTGTGTCTGTAGGATGGTGCTCAGTAGGACAGCAGTGTCCAGGCTGCTCTCCTCTGGCTGCAGCTGCTACAGTGACGATGCTCCTGATGACATGGTGCTGGGCAGGTGCTTCACTTCCCTCCGTGTTCCCATCACACACAGTCCACTGTTTCACCAGGTACAGAACACACGCACACACACACACACATTCACATACATGTTCATATTCGTAATATGGTAAAGATGAACCTAACTGCACTTACCTAAATGTTGAGATATATTAAAAAAGAACAAGGACAGCACAACATGGTATTAATTATAGGAAAACTTATTTGCTTTCAATTTACACATTTTCTGTCAACAAATTCTAAGCAATTGCATAACCTAACAAGTTGAGGCATATTATTTCCAACATGTGCTCAGAAACTCAACATTCCACAACCTAAGTTTCTTATATATGCCTTAAAGACCCTCTCTGGTTTAACCTCTAAAAAATTATCCCTGTGCATCAAATTTATATATTTAGAAGTTGTTGTTTTTTGTCCCATAAAACAATCTGTTCCTACCTTAAAATGGTTTAGATGTTCCTCTAGAATGTAAAGATCTAAAAAGTCACTGCCTGAGCACACCAGCTTATCTACTACTCTACACTAAACAACTGCAGAAGTCATTTAGTCATATGTATTTGAGTTCGGTCCGCGTCCCGGTGGGGGCACCGGAATCTTTCTGCATGGAGTTTGCATGTTTTTCCGTGCACCGTGGGTTCTCTCCAGGTTCTCCGGCTTCCTCCCACACAGTCCAAAAACATGTTGAGGTTAACTGATGATTCTAAATTGTCCGTAGGTGTGAATGTGAGTGTGCTTGGTGTCTGTCTCTAAGTGTAGCCCTGCGATAGACTGGCGACCTGTCCAGGGTGTCCCCTGCTTTCACCCTAAGTCAGCTGGGATAGGCTCCAGCCCCCGCGCGACCCTCGTGAGGATTAAGTGGTGTATAGATAATGGATGGATGGATATTTGAGTTCAAAGCCGATTCTGAAGAAGAATAAAGACACATAAAGCCCCAGCTGACTAGTGGACATTATTGGTTCCTCAGATTTGTTACATATGAAACCCCAGAAATCTAAATCCTTGTTTTAGTCATCAGAACACTGCAGTTTCAAGGTGGAACTGTTCAGCCGTGGCACAACCTGCTTATTTCGCTAATGATGTTTTCTCTCACATGTAATTAAAAAAAAAAACATCAGGACATGTTAACAAGGTAAAAAAGGGTGATTTTTCACTTGACGGGGTCTTTAACTTTCTGTCACCCTTGCATGAAAGCTGCTTGTTCTGAATCCCCATAAGTAAGTTATACCATCTCTCACGCTGCTCACATGGAGATGTGCAAAAAGAAATGGCTCAATGAGGCCTAAAGTGCTCCAGGTGTTGACGGGACCCAGATCTAAGACACTATCCAGTATCAGATGATGATGCGCGTAATTCTCTGGTCATGCTTGTCTTCTCTAAACGCAAGTGCTTTAAAGACATCACAACAGCATAAAAAACCGTGTCACCCCAGAGCAATGGACACAGTAGCTCCACCCCTTAAATAAGGAATATCATTATGCATAACAAATCTGCCCACACAGACACAAACCACTTGTTCTTGACATTTTAGGCGCGACCAGATGACTACCCTGAGACTCTGATCTCCTTGCAGCAGGCCATCTCCTTCCACAAGCACTGGAACATAGATCCTGTGGCTGTCTACAGAAACTGGCTGCAGGACGCACAGCCACGAGATGAACTGTAGAAACACTTTGGGTACACTGTTGACAAGCAGAGACTACGGATTTGCACAAAACTACAGCAACCACTGGTGTCGTCACTGTCCACGCACTCCACAAATCTCTCACAAGCCTTAATACCTGCATTGATTTTGATAAATACAATATGACTGCATGTAATGAAAACGGGTTGCAGTTAATGACCACCAAAGTCACTCTGAAGTGACATTTAGTCACATTTAGTTTTATTCATTGCTTCAGTTTAGCTGGTTTAACTGCTGGATGTGCAACTGCTTAACATAGGCCCTAACAACTGTATTAGTCATGGATATGTTGTTGGGAATCTCATTTATTTTTTTTGCAGGTAACTGGTCATAAAGTAAAATATTTGCATAAAGTTGGATTTTCAACTGAGGAGAGATGAAAAACGAGAGAATCAGCAAAAGTCACAGGACGAATTGTGGAACAATTGTTAAGATATTTTAACCTGGACCAAACTAGCAGACTGTTCATCCCTATAGCCACGCTTCTAGCCTTGCTAACGACTGTACAGACTTTGAATTACACACTGCCTAAAGTCACACTGGTTGCTGCTTGGATTGTGAGAGTGGATATCCGAGTGTCGCTGCTGTCACTCAACCTCCCTGACTTTTATTTAAACTAAACCATGAGACAAGATGTTGAATTTATTCAGAAATGTAAATGTATTTGTTCTAATATCGAGATGTTTAACAGATTTTATTTATTCAGGCAGGTAAGTTCCTGCACAAAGATGATCTGGACATGAGAGCAACATAAAAAGTTGCAAACAAAATAATGATAAATTAAACACTGAATAAAATAATACCCTAACAATGCAGTGATAACAAAGAATACAACTAAAAGACAGTTGGACAAAGGAGTCATTTAGCCCTGAATTTATGATGGTCTTGATTTTAAATCTTTCAAATTAAGATAAAATAAGATTAAAATCAGACTTAACATTAAAATCACCATGTTTACTTCAGATTTTTCTTTGCTACTTTGTGCTAATTTATTCTTTAAACAAACACACTTTTTGGGAAATTTTATTTTCTCACTAAAATCTGAGATGAGAAAAGTGACTCTATTCTCATATCTGTATGATAAATATGAAGTTAACGCCACTGATAAAGACTGGAAACAAGTGGAAAGAGCTGCTCTGGCTCTGTACTAGGTGAAAAAAAACAAAAAAACAACCCTAAACAACGCTGCCCTCTAGTACCTCTAAAAGGCACAAATTATCACATTGTATTATATTAATCATTACACAATCAATAATCTACAACTGAAAACTAATTAGCTCTTTATCTCATGATGAACATAAGGATATCTAACTCTCACAGAACCATCCTTCCAACACCTCCTCTTCCTCTGTCAGGGATGCAAAGTCAGCCAAGGGGCATCTAAACATACACACACACATATATATATTTTTGTTTGTTTTTTGAAGTTTAAAGTTGTGCACACAGTGAATGAGCACACAATTTTCTGTTTCCTTATTTACCACGTGCAGTTGTATGAATGAGTCTCAAATGGAGGAATATTTTAGTAGAATTTTATTTTGATCTAAGCTGTGTGAGTTTGAGTCAGTCAGTGTGGATGTGTGTAAAGAGTCACTGAATTAAAATATTGTTCGGCAGCTGGTTTTGGGAAAATGTTTGAGTGCTTGCTGAAAACGAATCATTTCCATGAATTAAAGAAGAATTTTTCATTTGAAAATAAAATATTCCCTTGGTTAAACACAGGCTTTTTGTGTTTCACTTTGTTTTTGCTTCCTAACAGAGTGTCAGGTTTGTATGAAGGAGGTGAGAATTGCTTTTGTACGACACAAAGTAAACAGAATATTGCTTCAGATTCACTCAAGGAATAGTTTTTGTGGTAATCGGTGGCTCGCTGACTCACGTGATTCCATTTGTCTGTGAATCACACCTTCAAAAAAAGAGCAAAATACTTCTTTTTTTAAATTTTTTTTATTAATGATTAGAGTTGTATGAAATGAAGGCCTATGGATGACCGGTGGATCAGCTCCCTGGTGATATTACAAGACACTCAGCTTGTCTCACTCTGTGTCTTTCTTCTGGTTTGTCACCCTCATTGAGGCCTGAATCCCTAAAGAAGGATGGTACTATCATGTCACTGTGACATGAGTTACTATAGCAACAAGGATATTGACCACCCATAGTGACAGCTTCTCCATGAAGGCTGTGTATGATGCTGGTCCGTTGCTGCTGTAATGAATTTTCAGCACGCATTCATGCAGAAACAATGAGTGCATCACTGTCACATTATTCATGAAATCAGTGAATAATTACTTAAATTAAAGTTTAATTGACATGCACTCATAAATATGCTTCTGTTCACATGAAAGTCTTCAAACAATACACAGAGAAAGAGAAGATTAGGTGTTGTTTTTTTTTCCAGTCTTCTCTCATTTGCTCCCTTAAAAAGGTAAATTTTCAATTTCATGTCCGGATTCATCTGAGGGCATCTCGTGCAGTTCCACATCCATCATTACATTTCTCTTTTATGTGCAAATGTGGCGTAGCAAACTTCGTAATAATGGATCACTGTGTTCCCGTTGCACTTTCATTCACACACATCATTAAATCACGGAGCTTTCACAAACTCTCGAGTGCTTCCTGTCTCATTGATGCCTATAAAACACCTCCAGCTCTGCCGTTCACTAACAAACAAAACAGTCCAGAAGCCCGCGTTGTTCTGACTCTAAATCAGCTCTACATCCCAAGCAGCAGCAGCAGCATTGCTCCAGTTTGCAACCGTTCCTCTGGTAATCCGCTGTTTCTTCCAATTTCCATCAATGAACGGTAAATCAGTTCGAGTCAGTAAACGAGCTTTAAGCATTTCATAAATCAATCGGGGCTTAGTCATGGCTCTGTTGGGTCATTACTGCATTCTGTATGTTCTTTATACTCCTGCTACTCCTGGTCTTTTCTCCTGTTTCAGGCTCTGTTTATTTAAACCTGAAAACAATGTCAGTCAGCTTTTAAATAGGGAAATAATGGATTATCAAGGCTGCATCCAGGAGCCATTAAAAGCCAACATATTGAAGTCATAATGTTTGTTTTAGCAAATGATTAGAACCAGCAATCATCTGAAAACTGATTTACCGGTGATTTGATACAACATTTAATCGCTGACGTGTATTTAGAAAACTTAAAGTTTGATTTGTATAAAATGTTTTGGGCTTTGTTGAGTCTCTCTCTTTACCTGTAGTACATCATCAGGCAAAAATGTCTTCTTTCAAAATGTAAGTACAGTATGTCACAAATGTGAGTACATTCTGCAAATATTTAATCTTTTCACGGGACAACGCTGAAGAAATGACACTTTGCGACAATGTAAAGTAGTCAGTGTACTGCTTGTATGACAGTGTAAATTTACTGTCCCCTCAAAAAAAAAACTCAATACACAGCCATTAATGTCTAAACCACTGGCAACACTCCTAGTGAAAATGTCCAAATTGGGCCCAATTAGTCATTTTCCCTCCCTGGTGTCATGTGACTCGTTAGTGAATGGGGAGCAGGTGTGTTAAATTTCGTGTTATCGCTCTCACACTCTCATACTGGTCACTGGAAATTTAACATGGCTTCTCACGGCAAAGAACTCTCTGAGGATCTGAAAAAAGAATTGTTACTCTACATAAAGATGGCCGAGGCTATAAGAAGATTGCCAACACCCTGAAGCTGAGCAGCATCCCGGCCACACACATTATTGCCTGTCACAGGTAAAGTAGAGACGATCCCAATCTCTACTATAAGGCCCCATGACTAAACTCCTGTCGATGCCACAACTTTCGTGCTGAATGTGTGAGTTTGTGAAGCCTCGAAATGGCTTAAAAAGGATGAATAAATGAGCAAATTTGACGCTTGTTCTGTTCACAGTTTGATTAGCTGCTCAGTTGATCTCTGACATTACAGTGTTTACACATTTTAACACACTAACCAAAGTCAGGTAAGCCACAAACATCTAGAAATCCTATGTGGACGCTAGACTAAAAATACCAACGATACAAATTTACAATAAACAAACTCCTCGGGGGATTCTTCCCTGCACCATGCATGCTTGGTTCATGCGTATCACCAAGTTAGCTTTGAACTGTGGCTGAATCTCTCTGGAAAGTCTACAGATATGTGGACTCAGAGTATTGGAACGTGTATCACATCCCTTATGCACTTGAGGATTTGACAGTAGGGCAGCTCTAAGGTCTGACGCTGAGCAGGAACGTGCCTCGGAGTCTGCTCGTGCAGAGTCTGAGATTTGGTGTTATAAATACAAATGTTCTCATCTTGCAGGGCAGAAGAGGCCACTGAGTGTGTAAGCTTAAGTATCGTTTAAAGCTTGTATAGTGGGTTTTATGGCTGCATGAGCGTTTAGAAGCAAAACTTGCATATTAAAGCTTTGACTCGTGTTGAAAAAGGCAGTGGCAGTTCAGTTTCCTGAGGTCTGTTGTATCTGAAATGTTTGACGTCCTGAACCAGAAGGCGTCTGACAGCAGCTTCATCAGGTCCTCCTCGGGAGTAAAATAATATGAGGCTCCGTTCACCAGAGGAGTCAGTCAGCTGTGGATGAAGTTTAGCTTTGTTTCCAAACGCTCTGTTTTTCTATTTTTGACTTTTCTTCACTTCCCACCTGACTGTACCCCATCGAACTGGTAAAGCTATCATTAAACTCATAAAACTAGTCATGAAAGTTTACAACATGACGTGTCTTTCGGATGTATGTATTTAGTAAGCGAGATTGTGTTAGTAATTGATGCAAATGTCTGACAAACCCCGACTTTGCTGTTGGTGTTAAAGAAATCCAAAGCCAACAGACATGATAATAACAGTTGGACACTTGTTGCTGTTTGCAGGAAGGGTTTAGTTTCATATTTTACTGTGATATTCTCAAAGCACCCTGAGTATGTAATGTTAGGATTCTTGCTGCACATGTTTTGTTGCTTCCTCCATTTTTTATTTCCTCCAATGCACTCAGGATTGTCATGTATAAAGAAGGTAAACAGAGCTTTTTGTTGCTTCTTTCAGTAGCCTGTGTGTCTGTGGAGCTTGATGCACTTTGGTTTGTGTTGCTAACCATCCAGGTGCAGCTGGATGGAATTTGCACCAACATTTATTCTTAGTTGTTTTGCTTGGGAAGATCTGCAGCTGAAGTTGAAGGATTTGTCAGTTTACCATGTTAAGATGTTGAAATTCTGACTTTTAGTGATCTTCTGAATGTGCAACAGGCTACACATACTTTTTTTTCTGTCTGATATTCTTCCCATCATATATGTTTAGTTTCCAAACTTATTGTTACTAAAATTAAAGCTGCTAAAGTTGATCCATCTGCAAAGTCAAGTATTTGTATTCTGTGCTACTTTCTCTTCTTTTCTCAACAAGGAGTTGTGTGTCCTCATCACAACCAAGGACCGTCAGAGTCACTTATCTGTTAGGGAATTGACGTGATTAGTGGTTTATCAGCCCATGCTAATGATTCATTAAGTGCTAAAGCTGCTTCAAAGACAATTGAGGACATGTTTGTAATGCACACAGAACAATGTGACAAAATCTTGGTTACAAAATGTGTTTTATTATGCTGCTGAAAGCTTTGATGCACATCAGAGGAATTCATTGCTCTCAAAGCACACGCAGATCTCCCCAAAGATATTAACCCACTGAACGACAGATGCTAATGAACCACTTGCCTCCCATCTCATTTTTATGCCTGAAAGGCACAGCTGCTGATTCGTGTGTTGATCATAACATTTATCACGCAATAAACTGGGTTGGGCTGCATGGTGGCTTGCCTCACAGCTGGAAGATCCCTGGTTTGCATCCTGATCTGGGATCTCTCTGCGTAGAGTTTGCATGTTGAGGTTAACTGGTGATTCTAAATTGTCCGTAGGTGTGAATGTGAGTGTGCTTGGTTGTCTGTCTCTAAGTGTAGCCCTGTGATAGACTGGCAACCTGTCCAGAGTGTCCCCTGCCTTCGCCCTGAGTGGGCTGAGATAGGCTCCAGCCCCCCGCGACCCTAGTGAGGATGGATAATGTAAGGATGGATAAATCAGATATTTCTCTGGCACCATCTGAAGAAGGCTTTTTTTTTTTTTCTTAATCAGTTTGACTCATGATTTGATTCTCAACAGAGAAATGTATTATGTTTATCTCCCAGAAGACCACCATGTTTTTGTTGTTGTGCCCTTGAAAATTTATTTTTCCACTCATTCTGGAAGTTTTAATTGAAGGCATAAATTGATTATCCCTGTCAGGGGTTTCAACCGGGGGGAGCGTGGGACTGAATGAGCCCCAACTTGGAGGGGAACCTCGTACAGCCTGGAATGAAGAGAATGTTTTTGTTTACATTTTCTTTTTATTTCTAAGTAATTACTGTCATAATTAAAACTTCAAACTGGCTGAATAACTAGTTTGAGGGACTGAACTTGTTATGAAAAAAACGTCTCTGAGGTCCCTCTCGCTCCTTCCACAAGCCTCAACTTCTAGTGCATTAGGCCTTGTATCAGAAAATCAAGCTGAGGAACCGCTGATGCTGGAGCACCAATGTGCAGGGTGATAGTTTTTCTCCAAGAAAGAGGATTTAGAGCATTAAAAACAAAAGAAACAAAGGAACCACAACTGCTGCTAGTTATTTTGAAAGACGAGCAAGTGAAACTAGTACAGTTTAAAAAAACTATCGGCAGTTGTTTGAATTGAAGGCAGTAAGTTAGAAATCTTGCTTGAACCATAT